TTGCCAACAAGTCAGTCAATTATCTTGTCCGAGACCCTGTTGATGGACGAAATCCTGCATCACTTTTATCACACAGGTCATCCCTTCCAAACCCTGAATCTTAACATTGCTGTCCTTGCAACGCTTCGAAAGTGCATGTGTGTGAATGACCGAAATCCTGCATCACCCATATGCGCGCGCAACATTGAAATTCGAGGGGTGTGGGGAGCTCGATTACCAACCGTCGCACACGTGTAACGTAGGGGGTCATGCAAGATTTTGTCCATCCACAGTCTCGGACAAGATAATTGACTGACTTGTTGGCAAGAGCTGGTGCTGGAATGGCTTTTGGGAAGAATGTCGGAGAATGGCCTTTGGGAAGAATGTCGGAGATGTACCTTTTGCAGCTTCAAGCCTAAGCTCTCCTCTTTCTCGGTGTGGCCAAGCGGCAACGAGCAGAAATGCCGTGTTTTTCAAGTTTCAAATTCGTTTCCGTAGTTTCAAATTAGTTTCAAAATAGTTTCAAAATCCAGTTGCAAAATCGCTGTTAAGGGGAAACTGCATTTTTCTACACGCGATTCAAAAAAATGAAGGAATCTCAGAGGTTCCTCGTTTTCAAAAAGCGCGGACAGAAATTGCAGTTCCCCCTTAACAGCGATTTTGCAACTGGATTTTGAAACTAATTTGAAACTGATTGGAAACTAATTTGAAACTATGGAAACAATTTGAAACTTGAAAAATACCATATTTCGGACTTTCTGCCCCCCATCCTGGCCCCTCACACACGGCCCTCAGTTGACTGTGGTCAGCCGTGACTATAGAGACCAGAGTTTCCGAAAACTTGCCAGTCTCCAGACTGTTGATGGACGAAATCCTGCATCACTTTTATTATGCAGGTCGTCCCTTCCAAACCCTGAATCTTAACATTGCTGTCCTTGCAATGCTTCGAAGTTGCATGTGTGTGAATGACCGAAATCCTGCATCACCCATATGCGCACGCAACATTGAAATTCGAGGGGCGCGGGGAGCTCGATTACCAACCGTCGCACACGTGTAACGTAGGGGGTCATGCAAGATTTTGTCCATCAACAGTCTCGGACAAGATAATTGACTGACTTGTTGGCAAGAGCTGGTGCTGGAATGGCTTTTGGGAAGAATGTCGGAGAATGGCCTTTGGGAAGAATGTCGGAGATGTACCTTTTGCAGCTTCAAGCCTAAGCTCTCCTCTTTCTCGGTGTGGCCAAGCGGCAAAGAGCAGAAATGCCGTGTTTTTCAAGTTTCAAATTCGTTTCCGTAGTTTCAAATTAGTTTCAAAATAGTTTCAAAATCCAGTTGCAAAATCGCTGTTAAGGGGAAACTGCATTTTTCTACGCGCGATTCAGAAAAATGAAGGAATCTCAGAGGTTCCTCGTTTTCAAAAAGCGCGGACAGAAATTGCAGTTCCCCCTTAACAGCGATTTTGCAACTGGATTTTGAAACTAATTTGAAACTGATTGGAAACTAATTTGAAACTATGGAAACAATTTGAAACTTGAAAATACCACATTCCGGACTTTCTGCCCCATCCTGGCCCCTCACATACGGCCCTCCGTTGACTTTGGTCAGCCGTGACTAGAGACCAGTTTTTCCGAAAACTTGCCAGTCTCCAGACTGTTGATGGACGAAATCCTGCATCACTTTTATCACGCAGGTCATCCCTTCCAAACCCTGAATCTTAACATTGCTGTCCTTGCAACGCTTCGAAAGTGCATGTGTGTGAATGACCGAAATCCTGCATCACCCATATGCGCGCGCAACATTGAAATTCGAGGGGTGTGGGGAGCTCGATTACCAACCGTCGCACACGTGTAACGTAGGGGGTCATGCAAGATTTTGTCCATCCACAGTCTCGGACAAGATAATTGACTGACTTGTTGGCAAGAGCTGGTGCTGGAATGGCTTTTGGGAAGAATGTCGGAGAATGGCCTTTGGGAAGAATGTCGGAGATGTACCTTTTGCAGCTTCAAGCCTAAGCTCTCCTCTTTCTCGGTGTGGCCAAGCGGCAACGAGCAGAAATGCCGTGTTTTTCAAGTTTCAAATTCGTTTCCGTAGTTTCAAATTAGTTTCAAAATAGTTTCAAAATCCAGTTGCAAAATCGCTGTTAAGGGGAAACTGCATTTTTCTACGCGCGATTCAGAAAAATGAAGGAATCTCAGAGGTTCCTCGTTTTCAAAAAGCGCGGACAGAAATTGCAGTTCCCCCTTAACAGCGATTTTGCAACTGGATTTTGAAACTAATTTGAAACTGATTGGAAACTAATTTGAAACTATGGAAACAATTTGAAACTTGAAAAATACCACATTCCGGACTTTCTGCCCCATCCTGGCCCCTCACATACGGCCCTCCGTTGACTTTGGTCAGCCGTGACTAGAGACCAGAGTTTCCGAAAACTTGCCAGTCTCCAGACTGTTGATGGACGAAATCCTGCATCACTTTTATCACGCAGGTCATCCCTTCCAAACCCTGAATCTTAACATTGCTGTCCTTGCAACGCTTCGAAAGTGCATGTGTGAATGACCGAAATCCTGCATCACCCATATGCGCGCGCAACATTGAAATTCGAGGGGTGTGGGGAGCTCGATTACCAACCGTCGCACACGTGTAACGTAGGGGGTCATGCAAGATTTTGTCCATCCACAGTCTCGGACAAGATAATTGACTGACTTGTTGGCAAGAGCTGGTGCTGGAATGGCTTTTGGGAAGAATGTCGGAGAATGGCCTTTGGGAAGAATGTCGGAGATGTACCTTTTGCAGCTTCAAGCCTAAGCTCTCCTCTTTCTCGGTGTGGCCAAGCGGCAAAGAGCAGAAATGCCGTGTTTTTCAAGTTTCAAATTCGTTTCCGTAGTTTCAAATTAGTTTCAAAATAGTTTCAAAATCCAGTTGCAAAATCGCTGTTAAGGGGAAACTGCATTTTTCTACGCGCGATTCAGAAAAATGAAGGAATCTCAGAGGTTCCTCGTTTTCAAGAAGCGCGGACAGAAATTGCAGTTCCCCCTTAACAGCGATTTTGCAACTGGATTTTGAAACTAATTTGAAACTGATTGGAAACTAATTTGAAACTATGGAAACAATTTGAAACTTGAAAATACCACATTCCGGACTTTCTGCCCCATCCTGGCCCCTCACATACGGCCCTCCGTTGACTTTGGTCAGCCGTGACTAGAGACCAGTTTTTCCGAAAACTTGCCAGTCTCCAGACTGTTGATGGACGAAATCCTGCATCACTTTTATCACGCAGGTCATCCCTTCCAAACCCTGAATCTTAACATTGCTGTCCTTGCAACGCTTCGAAAGTGCATGTGTGTGAATGACCGAAATCCTGCATCACCCATATGCGCGCGCAACATTGAAATTCGAGGGGTGTGGGGAGCTCGATTACCAACCGTCGCACACGTGTAACGTAGGGGGTCATGCAAGATTTTGTCCATCCACAGTACCTCCACCAGGAGTTCACCCTCGCGCTTCTGCTCTCACTACGGGTTCTGAGTGCCGACGTGGAAGGATACTGCCTTGCTGGACCTCACAGTGTTCACCCTGTGCAGCGGCAAAGCGAAAGGACGTTTCCTCGATGCATGCAGCATCACGTGGTGAAACCCAGATGTGCCGGCGCACGCTTGCCCCGACACCATCTACCTGCGAGGACAGTGGGCGTGATGGCGCTGAACTCAATGATATCTGCTACTTTCTCTACGTTCGCAGGTGCGACGTCTAAGCACAGGGACAGGCAAAGGCCGAGGATCCTTGTAAGTCGAAGCATGGTCATCCTTGCCCCGATAGAGCCGAGAGCCCGAGCCATCGTTCCTGTGGGAACCGTAAAGCTCATGAACCCAGTGGGTTTAGGGTTTAGGGTTTAGGGTTTAGGGTTTAGGGTTTAGGGCATAAGCCTTACAAAATCCTTACAAACACGAATACCTATAAACACTAAACCCGAACCATGGCCCCGAAACTTTTTGAGAAACTATGAACCCCAAGCGTCTCATTCTATATCCGCTATGGCCTCTGAGCCTGCCCTGAATCCAAATCTCGTATGTCCGCTGAATACTGAGCCCGATGACCCCCTCAAGAGCTGTGTGCATGCACCCTGAATCCTGCCCAACAAAACCAAGAACCTTAAGCAGTAACCCCAAACCCTAAACCCTAAACCCCAAACCCCAAACCCTAAACCCTAAACCCTAAACCCTAAACCCCAAAACCCCAACTTCCAAACCCCAAACCCCAAGCCCCAAAGTCACCGAATCTTGGAGCCTCGACTCGCCGAGGAGCGCCCCTGCACTTTCGAGCCGATCGACCTGCCACAGCGAAGCCCGGAGTTTAGGGTTTAGGGTTTAGGGCTTTGTCGGGCTTGGGTACGCAATTCGAGCCCCATTGCCGAACCCGAAACTTAGGGGCGTTCGGGTTTAAGCTCTATAGGCCCTAATTAGGCACCCTTTCACCCAAGAGCTTTCGGGAAGCTCTTTTCGGGCGCCGGGCTTGCGCAGCCAGGGCAGGTACAGGGCCTGAGTCAACTTAGGGTTTGAAGTGCGGTCTGAGGTCTTTGGTGCAAACCCCAGATCCGCAACAAATGCCTGCTAGATTATGAACCCCCAGATCGCCTGAACCCTGTATAAACCCAACCCCGAATTCTGCTGGCACTGCCTCCCCTGCTCGAGCTTGCTTTCGCTCCTCGCGTGCGATGGCATTTATAGGGCAGGGTTTTGGGGTTGGCCTCCCCACCCCGCCGCGTACCCGTCAACAGGCCTGGGGGGGGGGGGGTACCTTAAGGAGCATCCAAACGGGTGCGAGATATTTAGGGATTGAGGGGATTTAGGAGTCTATGGGGTAGAGTTTGGGCTTTGCAGCTTGCTGCTGGGCTTTGGGGGTTTCAGGGTTTCAGGGCAAAGGGCTGGAAGTTTCGGAGTTTCAGGCTTTGGGGCCTTGGGGTTGTAGGGCTTGCGCTGGGCTTAGGCATGGTTTCATAGGGTTTGGGTTCAGAGCTCCAGCTTTCAGCACCCATGCTACTGGTACTTCTGGATTCTTCAAGTCTGAATGCCATGTAGTGAGCACGGAGTGGACACGCTGGCGGCAGGCTTGCCTCGAAGTTTTTGATGAGGCCGCTGCAATCTTGGCGCAACGCCTGGTTGTCCGATGTTTTAGGAGGGATGCTTCGAGAGGAAGGGTGGTACGCTCAGAGGTGGGCTGTGTTAAGTTGTTTAAGGGCACGCGGTTCGGGACAATCGGGCCACTGCCTCCAAGTACTTGGCGACGCTCTGCTGGCCTTCCGCATTCGTGGCCGTCTTCCTGGCGGTCTTCGGCATTTGGAAGCCCGGGAAGTTTTGGAATCAGGCACGACCCTAAATCCTTAGATTACTTTTAAAACTCCTCCATGACACCAGCATCATGCGCCACACGTTGGAAAACGCGCGTGAGATGCCATTTCTGGACATGCCACGAAGAGACATACCGTTGTTGCTTGGGCCGTGGGGCCCCCAATGAAGCCCACGTGAGCAAACTCTAGGCCCGCAACCCTATAAACCCCAAACCCTATAAACCCTAACCCCTAAGCCCTAAACCCTGAGCCCTATAAGCCCGATCAAACCTAAACCCTGTAACCCCAAAACCCCAAACCCTATAAACCCAAACACCCGAGAGACCCTCCGGGCGTCCCCACTGATCCAGCCCAAGCAGACGCCTTTCAAGGCCGGCCCTGACCTCGACGCTCCAGAAACGAAAAAAGCATGGAGTTTAGGGTTGCGACTGTGGGGGTGGCTGCAGGGTTTTAGATGTTAGGGTTTGGTTTTGGGGGCTTTTGCGGTGGATATTCAGGGAACGCTTTTGGGGGGCATGGAGGCTTGTAGGGTTTGAGAGTCTTACGTCGCATGGAGATTCGGGCTTCGGGTTTCTGAGCTCTAAGTCCACGCGCCAAGCACATTGTTGCGGGCTCAGGCTTGCCAGCCACAAAAAACGCGAACCCCTTTGATAAGGCTTAAGGATTGCTTAATGGACTACATTATTACACATGCAGGGTTTAGGGTTTCGGGTACTTGGACTGAAACAGGCATCCCTTCCTCACACTTGGTAGGTGTAGGCGCTTGGGAAGCCTGTATCGCCCTGCACCGCCCTCCCCCCCCCCCCCCCCCCCAACTTACTGTTGGTTCGCAGGGAATGAGGGAATTAGAGCCCCATATATACCCTTTAAGGGATTCTGTAGTGTACCTCATTCCCCTCTCCCTGCTAACCCACCGCCCCCTCCCAAAGGCGCGGCTGAGGTCCCAGCACCCGTCTTCTCAGCGAGGCTGCGCGTGGACTCCTCGCGGCTCCGCTGGGCATCCTGGCGTCGATGTCTTTTTGTGGAGGGCTTGGCTACCCGGAAGGGCTATGATACCCTGTGACCCCTTAAAAGGCCCTTTGTAGGGTTGATTATGGGGGTAATAAAGCCTAGTAGCCCATCCTGGTAATTAGGGTTGTCGGATGTTGAAGGCTTATAGCAAGATAGATGTGTGGGACAGTAAGATTAGGCTGTTGAAGGTCCTGAGGTTGGGGGAGGGGCGGCTGCTCCAGCTCTGACAGCTTCCCCGGCCTGAGCCAACTTCTCGTAGGCCTTCTGCGCGTCTGCCTCCTGTTTGTCCATTGCCTGCCGGTGTTGGGAGCTCTCGTACCCCAAGTGCAACACAGGGCTGTGTTTTGTGATCCTGCGCTGGCGAAACTGAGAAGCTCCCAGGCCCAAGCCCGAAGCCAAATCCCTAAGCCCCGCTGAGCGTTTTCTCCTAGAGAGCCTATATCCTGTAGGCCCTAGCTACAAGCCCCAAAGCCCCAAATCTCAAAGTTCGTAAACCCTGAAACTCCTAACCGAGGCCCCAAGCCCTGGAGTTTAAACCCTGTGAGGGCAGCCATTCTGGGCCCGATTCCACGAGCCGCCTTGCGCTCTTTCCCAAGGTCCTCCACCTTGTCATTTAGGCATTGAGGAACGGAGGGGCCCGGAGGGGACCAGTCTAAACGGTGCAGAAGCTGCGAAAGAGAGGATGCAGAATCACTGCGGATGCTTTGTACCGTGCGAAGTGCAGCTATGGCCCGACTGTAATAAAGAGCCATCAAGCAGCTTAAACGGCAGGAACAGCAAGCCACCCTCACCCATCCGTTAGGGTTGTTTAGGCCTGAGCTTACTTTAAGCGCCGCGTTCTCCATACCACTGGGGATGTGACATTGAAGATAGCTCTGGCCTGGGTTTTGGAGTTCGTCCTGCAAACTAGACGTTGCTACTGGATTCCTACTTCTCGGGGCACAGTATCCTAAATATCACGGGTCGCATTGCAACAAGGACCCCACCCGGAGCCCTAACTGGGAGAGCTGACCTCAACGCCCTGAGCAACACAGCTCGGGCCCATGCTATCGTGTCCAGCATGGCTGCCACTGTGGAGCCCGAGTCCTGCTTCGCGTACTTCGAGAAGCCCTGCCGTGAAGTCTCGGCTTATGGGATGTGAGGGCTGAGCGATGACAATGGTGTAGTGGTGTAACTGAAGCCCAGCTGCCCATCACAGCTCCCAAAAACAGCCCTGCAACCCCCCATCCCCCCTCTCCAACCAACCACACACTGCCTTCGGGCTGGCGCCAATCTCTGTGAGCTCGAGATCGTCGCTGCTGGGCTGTGCCTGTGAGCACTCCACCGGCTCTAGGAACAGGAGGAGGGTTCATGGCCTTATAGGGAAGCCTAGGGTTGATTCTGAGCTTTAGATGCCGAAGTTTAGGGCTTAGGGTTTTTCTAGCGCGAGGTCTTAGGTCTTAGGATGTAGGATGTACATATCTGCCCACGATTCGGACCAAACCACAAGTTCAGGCCCATTGGAACCCTAAGCAAAACTTGCCCCAAATGCTAAACCAAACCCACCCTAGGATTTGAACCCTAAACCCTAAACCTCAGACCCCAGACCCTAGACCCCTAAACCCTAAACCCTAAATCCTGCCTAGGATTTAGGGTTTCGGGTTTGGGGCAAAGGACCAGGAAAATACCCTGAGTCTCAAGCCTGAACTGTCCCACATGACCCAACAAAATCGAACCCTCGAGGAGCAAGCCGAAACATTCAAAAGCAAGGCCCCTCTATCAGCCTTGAAGACATACGCCGGCCTACCCACAAGCTCAAAATCTATAGCCCTAGAATGAGCCCTGAGGCCTCCTCCTAAATTTTCAAAACCTCGTGAACCTTGAAATACTCGAGCCGCCTTCATCCCAAACCCTCTCTTAACGGTGTAGATCTTACACCTCCAGCCAGGACCCTAAAGTCTGCAAAAACGTAAAATCCCCCACCCCGAATTCTGCAAACCTAACACGCTCTAAACTCCAAAAGCCCCCTACGCCTTAAACTCCATAAAGCCTCTACGAGCCCTAAACCCTGTGACCTTAAACTCGACGAACCCTCAAAACCAACCAGCACCTCGACACGCCCTACGCGCTTCCAGCAGCACCTACAAACCCAGCTAGGTCCTACCAGACAACTTGTCCTAGACCCTATAAACCCAACATTAAAGACATTTTAAAACACTACTATAGCCCCAACATACAACCCCTATAAGTCCTTTGAGCCCCATGAAACATATGAGCCCTTTAAGTCTCAATCATCCCAACCATCCCAGATACTATACTCCCCTTAGAACCAAAATGAGAACAATATTTCTAAGATCCTCTTGGGTTGTATATAATAAAAAATAGAAACACATTTCCCAAGGGGGGGATATAGAATACGCTGGGCTTCCATGCCGGCCATACGTCCGCCTTCTCGCTGGCGACCCGCAGGCCGGCTCCTGGTGGATCGGCTTTGGCTTCACCTTATAAGGAGCTATCATTGATATGCCCTTGGGCTGCACCTATACACACGAAAAACACACATAATTCCTAAGGAAAGTATGGTGGGCAGCAACACCTCAGCAGATTGGCTGGAGTAAAGGATTCGTTGCATTCCTTTGTCCATTGAGTGGCGTTAAGCCCCGAACTGCTGGTCGGTGGGAGGACGGGCTCGTCCGCCAGCGGACAGTGAAAACTGCGATGGGGTCAAGACCGGAAAAGACGAAATGACCGAATAGGAGGAAAGGCCACCGCCATCTATTTCATACATGCGCACTTGAACCCGGGTCGCGGTGCAAAGAGGTGCGGTGGTGCGGATGATGGAGTGCCTTGGCGCGGCTCCTCTGCGCCCTGCAGCCCGACTCGCTGCAATTCACATAACAGTAAGCATGGCATGACATTTGATACAAAATTGCTATGATCAGCGTTATGCCGAGCCAATTGGGGGTGCAGTGTGTCGGGGTGGTACCGGGTGCGGTCGTGCGGAGTGCAGTCACGCGAGCACCCAGCGCACGCCATGCGCTTCACGACCACACCACATAGACCCCAACCTGCAAGCGAGCCTCCCAACAAAAATTATACCCCACATTGCTCTTGAAGTTTGATGGCGTTAAGCTGGGGAAAAGGAAAGGCGCCCACAATTGCAGTGTAAAACTCGGTTCATATACCACGCAAAGTTTGAGCAAGGTTATTGAAGCCAATTAGAAAAGCTCAATTAGCCTTACATTTTTGAACATGTGAACGAGCACTTGAAACCAATGTAAACAATAATACCAAATCAAAGACTTCGCTGGTGTTCTAGCAACAATGGCATAACATTGAATTGTGACCAAATGTTTGTAGGTCATTGCTGCTTGAACTTTGTTGGATATGATGTCGTTAGATCTTCTCAGGAGCACGTCATGTGCCTGGGTTCTGGCTAGAAGGCCCAACGCCCTTTTGATTCATCAACCCATCCGCAACCCCACTTTTGGCTAAACCTTCGGGGGTTCTGCCGGGATCTCTCCATGGTCGGCCTCCAGCTTTGGCACGTTTTTCTATTGCAGCTTCTACTGGCCACCTAGTTCAGATCATGTTGAATTAGGGCTTATACAAGTTGTCCCGGAAAACTCTTGTCGTCAAATGGGTTCGTGTGCGGAGGCTTGGCCTGAAACCTGTGCTGTTACGCCAACCCTTGGTCGTGTTGTGTCGTCCCATGGCATCAGGGTTCAGGGCTTTAGGGGTTTTAGGGGCTTTAGGGGTTTCGGCTTTATAGGGTTTAGGGTGTTCATTCTAGTACGGCGAGAGCACAAGCCCTCTTGTAAGTGGGCGGTCTTGGGGTGGGTATGTCTGCAGACTGATGCCCCGCTCACACAAGTCGTGCTTCTGTTCGGCGCGCCCTAAAAACTAAACCCCAAACTCTGAGGGGTCCGGATTTAAGGTTTACAGGGGAAACTTCCTGTAGGATCTGATGTTTAACATTCCCCTTGCCGCGCCTGCAGCCTCAATAGCGCGGGAGGCGGCAGCGATTTTCCGGAGGCGGAGCCGACGCTGCGCCTGACAGACCGCCATAAGACGGAGGTGCGCTGTACCCCCCAAGCTCAAAGCCTTCTATCTTGCAAAGGCTACTTTGTAACCCAGAACCTAAGTGGCCCTCAAACTCCTCTGAAGAATTACGCCTATAGGTCGGATCCTCTTGAAGCCGAGAACTTCCCAAAGCCTGACTGCATCAATGACACCAGTGCCGAGTCACCAGCAGGGCAACCTTTGCTTTGGCTTTTGCGGCCGTCGAGGTGTAGAAGCGGCTGAGCCGATCCTGCGGACACACTGCACGGTATATAGGTCGTATATGGGGCCTAAAGTGCGTGCCACAGAGACCGAAGCTGGGCTGTTCATGCAGAATGCCGAGACTGGGGAAGAAATGCAGCGGTTACAGAAGACCAGCACTGCGACACAGTCCGTCCTAAACCCAAACCCTAACTCTAAACCCTCAACCTTAAACCCCTGAGCCCCAAACCCAAGAAGAGACTAGTCTGGATATGATCTCACCATGATGCTCCTTGGCCCGCTGGAGCAGATCGCATGCACGGACGCTGTCAGCAATCGCCTGCAGATGAAGGATCCTTCCGATTCAAACTACGATCACTATTATGTTGAATCTACCAGTGTATATAGTGTATTACAGGTATGTTTCTGACCCATATAAAAATGTTGGTACAGAAAATTACAGAAACACAACGTGTCGACATCACAACCATAAATTGCGATCGCTGCAGCCACGAGATCCCTCAGACCCTTCAGTAGCACATGCCCCAACCCTCCCAGGAGTTCCAGCTTTCATGCGCGTGACGCTTTAGGGCTGAGGGTTAGGACTTCATGTGATGTGTGCCCTTGCATGAGAGCCAAGCACTCTGTCCCCTTCCCCCAAAACATTCACATTTGCCTCCTGACAAACGAACTGAATGAGAACTTGCGGCATCCCTTTCGCGATCGGCCCTGTAAGCCCTCTTCAACAACATATTCCAAACTTCACTGCCCTCAACCCAATACGGGAAAACGAAGTGACACGTGAATGTCCAATGCCAATGCTATTGCCTCGCCTGATTCCGACAATTGGGGTGCTCCTTTGATATCCCAAATAGAATAGAACCCCGCTTCTAGGGGCCCCCAAAAAGGGGTACTCCTACTTTCCGAAGCCTGGGATGTTCCCCCTTATACTAACAGCCCTTAATAGGTATTATGATAGGGGGTACTAGAATCCTATTAAGGACTCTTAGTATGAAGGGGAACATCCCAACCCTAAACCCTTAAACCCTAGAAACCCTAAAACCCTAGAAACAAAGGGGCGCCTGCTTGTACTCCTTGTTTTCATCCTGGCGTTGCAGCCTGGACTCTTCCATCTGCTGATCCAACTCCTGGGTTAGGGTTTAGGGTTTCGGGCTTCGGGTTTAGGATTGGATGTAGGAGTTGACCTTAAACTGAGGACCTGTCCGGAAAGGATGTTCCTAGGTAGGGTGGCCTTTGCAAGGCAGGCCTCTCTATGGGGTATGAGGGCTTACAGACGGACGATAACCCTATACACGTCAGGAATATGTGAGCCGAAAACCTAGACAAAACCCTGAACCCTAGTCGGTCTAAAGTTTACAACAAAAAGCACGAACCCAAGACATATTTGTATGAACCAGGTTGCTGAATCCTACCCATGGTGTAGCTTTGTATGGGGACCCTCTGCTATTACAGCTGCGTGCTGGCAACAGGTATTCTTTGTAATAATAACAAAATTTCTGGAATTGGGGTCCGCTTTTCAAACGTGACACCTGGACCCCTGGTCACTTAAGGCTGAGGGCTTCCGTATGAGAATTCAGGGAGTAGACGGTTCTTACCGTGAACTATAAAAAACGGATGTTTCCTAAAGCCTAGGCCTAAGCCTTAAAAAACCTAAAGGCCAAACCCTAGCTCGACCTTGCCTGGATCTTCTTCGTCATCGCCGTCATCTCCTGCAACAGCTTTCCGCTGGACACAATCCCAAAGCTGGAGTAGGGAACAGAGGATCTACCACTGCAAAAACTTCCTTAGGGGTTTCGCTTTCGGGTTTGCGAGGCAAGTTTAGGGTTTTATTTTTCCGGTTCTGTTCGGCTTCATTAGGGCTGTTTTCTGGGATTTTAGAGTTCTGTAAGCTTGTCTCTTTAGGGCCGGCTTGCTAGGGCTCCACCTGCTTGCTTGCTTGGTCACTAAAGCCAAGCACGGTTCAGTTCTGAGAATGGTTGCCTTTTGGGCACCCTAATTACAAGGGCCCGCACCGGAAACAGGATCCAGCAGGGACCGAAGCAAAGAGAAATGACCACGTCACACAGTGAGTCCACCCCCAAGCCCTTAACCCCTGACATCCCCGAATCTTTGGGAATTGGGGTCTATACTGCTAGGCATTCAAGCTTGTCAGAGGTTAGAGAAGCCGCAAACAGCCCAAAGCTCCAAAATGCCCTTGTGCAGTAGACTGGGCGGGACAAGCTGCACGCTCTCTTGAGACATTCCCTTTTGGTGGTGCTTTTGCCAGGCAGATGTAGGTAGGGCCACTGTAAGATCTCCTTTCAGAGCTGTCTTGCGGGGTTGTTTCAAAGGGCTTGACGGGATTTAGGGCTTAAGGAGTGCGATGCGTGGCAGTTCTAGAGTTCTAGGTCGAATCGCAGGGAGCATCTAGTGATAGCTGCTCAAACTCAGAACCCCGAAATCTTAGCCGTCAGAGATCGCATGCAGTGCCAAACCCAGCACCCCGAACTCCCATCCCAGAAGCCAGCTGGCGAGTCCTCCTCTACCTGCTTTTCGTCTGAACCGACCTGAGAGTGAGTTCTGGCGGTCACCTACATCATTGGTTGAAGTGCTTAAGGCTGCGAATCTCTCGAGGCTGAGGAGTAGAACAGTGTAGAAGATTTTTGGGGCTCTGGGGTTACCCTAAACCCTAAACCAGGGTTTAGGGCCTTTAGGGTTGCGGATCCTGTGGCTCACCATGTCACTGCTGTGCACAATGCTTCGCCAGCCTCGTCCACGATCTTGGACAAGTCCTGGGTCAGGGTTAGAGCTATCTTTCCGAGCGATTCGAGAACCAGACACTCTTGAGGGTTTAGGGTGCAGTGATTAGGGTTTAGGGTCCAACCGGTTCGAGAATGCATCAGCGTCCAGAAATAGTGAGAAGACCCATGCTAGAGCAAGGTATCCCATCAGAGCTACTGTTCCCTCTCATAGTAGCAGCTACTGCAACAGATAGTTGCAACCATGTATGTGCAGCACCTCGTTAGCGCCTTCATTGGCCCCATAAACGACTGCTACTACAAGGACACCCTAAACCCTGCGTCATGCTCCTGGAGCCCTACACGCAACCCCTAGGATGCATTGCGGGGTAAAACGGGGCTTATATAGAGAGCCTCTGACTAAGGTCCCTGTTTAAGAGGGCCGGAAGAGGGTTAAGAAGGGTTCCCTTTTAACAGTCCCCCTTATTTTACCTAGGACCAAAACTCCAACCGGGTAGTATACATTCCAAACTCAGAACCACAAGTCCCGAAACCTTGGAGCCCCCAAGTGCCCCCAAACCCTCATGAACCCCAAACCATTCGGGCAATTCTTACAAAATAGAGGGCACCCCTTTGATACCCCCCCAAGAAATAGAAACTCCTATTCTTGGTTTCGGTGTCCACGGGCCTCGCCCTCCTGCTTCAAACTCCTGAGGTTATCCTCCGAGCCGTGGCTCTCGACCTTCAATTTCAGTGTGTTCTTTTTGGGTTTGGGGCTTTGGGCTTTGGGAGTTCTTTGGCGGCTTAGGGCTTAGGGAGTTCAGTGAAGTGTGGGGCGTTCCGGGTCTAGAAGTTCGATGTAGGTCTTGAAGTCTTGAAGGTTATAGTGTGATGAGTCTGCAAAGGGCTCCAAAGCCTTGCAGGGGCTTAGTTCTACGGGACGGGGGGCTTAGAGGGCTAATATGGGTCGTATCAGGCCCTTGTGTTGTAAGCCCCGGAGGGCTCGAGGGGATCTATCAGTGTTGTGGGAGGTGTATCTAGTATAATGCCTATGGTTTCTACCATCAATATCGTGCACAAGTTGTTGCTGATGTTATGGTGTAGGTTTGCGCTAGGCATTTTGTCTCGGCATTTTGGTCCAACAGGTTTGGATTGCCTTGGGTACGTTGGCTGGGGATTCAGACTGATTTGGGTCCTAGATGGGTTGAGGGTTGGGGTTTGAACCGATCGGGACAAATTCGCAGGGGCGTCAAAGGCTAAGCCTATGGTGCGTGCGCCAAATCTAGATGCCACAATGCTGGGTTCCCGTTATCATAACAAAAATGACAACATTGAAATCAACACAATGACAATTATATTCATTGACAAGAACTTACAAATAATAAGAAGAATGGGATGCTTCTTGATAACAGCCCTGCGGCGGCTGCACTTGCCGACGTGCAAGTACTCCAAACCCTAAACCCTAAACCCTAAACCCTAAACCCTAGAGTTCCGTAGCCAGAGCGAAGAAGGCTTGATAGTAGGACTTGTCTTTTCGCAGCTGAAGCGGCGTGGGGTCGGCTGAAACCCACAGAGCCGGAAGCTCCCCTCCTAAACCCCAACCCCAATCAGCCGATGGACGCTATTCCTTGCCTCAAGAGGTTTAGGGTTTAGGTTGCGGAGCTGCTACAGTTTGTATTCAGGAATTGGGTTAGAGTTAAAAGAAAAGGGGTCAATGTACCTGACAATATCTGGCTCAAGGATGGCCAGGAGTACTGAGGCCACAAGCAAAAAAGAGGTAGAGCCCGCGTGGTTGGGGTTGGGGTTGGTTCCTGGTTGCTTAGGCATAGGCCCCCTTTACTCCCTTCCCTGGTTCTTCTTACTCCGTGTTCTGTGTTTGGATTTGCTGGTTGGTCTGGGGAATATAAATTCAGGGTGTTCATTGGGGTTGATCCCTTCCCCCTTTTGGGTGCCCCCCGTAGGTTATGAGCCCAAGTTAGGTTCCCTGCGGTTAAGTGTTTCTCTCAAAGATTTTGGGTTGAGAAGCAATGCCTTCGCCCAAAAAATGGCTTCAGCCCTCCGCGCATGGTGATAAAAGTGGTGGAGCTGACAGTGGAGTGGATAGTGGTGCAACTGGTCCTCAGGTTGAGGAAGCGGCGCTGGAAGAAGAAATGCCTGGTACTGCAGAAGAACAACTGGAGGGAACGTCAGTTGCTGGAGACCCCAATGAGGGTATAGATCCCAATGTGGACATGGTGGAAAATGCTGGAGGTGAAAGACGAGCTGTTTCGGTGTCACCAAAACCTGGAGAAAAGAGGCCCTGGGATGAGACTGGTGGTATGGATGTAGAGCTGGAAGCGACGGTGTTGCGTGTGATGCTGAAGCACGGCTTTACTACGGCGTCGTCTTCGTCTTCAAGTAGGAGAATGGTCAGTCAAGAAACGCAGACTGAACTGAGTGGTGAGGTGGCTCCATTGGAGAAAGTAAAGAACAAGATTTCTGATGGGCCAAGTAGTATGGACGGTGGCGACCTTATTCCTTCAAGTGGTTCAGCTGGAAAAACGGCACAGAAGCCACAGGAAGTGGTTGAGATGCATCCAGATGAGATTTTGGAGCTGGAGGCCGTTATTCAGGAGGAGCGTGAACAAGAGAACGCTCAACTGGTGCAATTGCGGCTGGAAGCGGATTCCTTCCTGAAGGGAAGCGAAGCTCCTATGGTGGATTCTGAATGGGAGATGCATTTCCAAGACGGTCGACCGTACTATTACAATATTGCCACTCAGAGGGACTCAATGGGAATGCCCGGATGGGTTCATCAACACTGCTGGAGAGGCGATGGCAGATGGACGGGCTTCTGTTTCAGTTAAGGAAAAAGGGGAGAACAAGGTCTCTGTCCCGCGGCTGGAACTGGGTTCTATGACGTCGAGGCCGTCTTCTGAGTCCGTCAGAGCCTTGCAAGGTAGTGTAGATAGTGTACATAAGGAATTTTCCTCTACCATTGGGGATAGCGGTTTGAAGGGTAGTGGTGCTGCCCAGACCTCGGGTTCCCCTGATGAGGAAGGAATTTCTGGATTGCAGAAGGATACGGCTGGAGAACACCTGGATCAGGAAACGAACAAAGCGCTTTCTGAGGGTGACGCAGCGGTGAAACCTGCGAGTTCGGACGATGTTGACCCCAATGTGGAAAGGGTTGGTGTTTCAGCAGCAGAAGAGTTGGTGGTGAAAGAAGTACCTGGCACTCATGAAGTGACTTCAGAGGGAGAAGAAGGAGTTGAGAAGCTGCAGGAGGTGCTTGCCGAGGAGACTTCTCAGCCGATTGCCAAGGTATCTGCCGTCAGCAAAGAAGAGGATTTTTCTGCGGATGCTGGAGACACTGTGGATATGCCTGGCGCGGAGGTCAAGGCAAAGGCCTGGAGCACCAATGAAGTGCGGGCTAATGCGCAAAAGACAATCTGGAGTGCGGAGGAGGCACGGGTTGAGGCGCATGTGGTTTCATGTTCCGCGGATGACTGCAACAATGGAGCGCAGGTCTCCGTAGTAGCCGACGATGGAGGCTCACAGGTGGACGCACTAGTGCAGCTTGAAGTTGGTGGCGAGGAACAGAATGATGAAGGCCGCACCGAAGCCAATGGAGCAGCCAGTGGTCGATGGTGGTGTTATTTCTCCTTTGGTAACCATGGAGCCAAAGGATCCTACAGTGGAAGAAAAGGTGCCTGCTGTGGATGACCAAGTAAAGGACCCGGGTGGGGTTTCATCCTCCAAAAAGGAGGAAACATTGCCGACTGGAAGTTTGCCGGAAGTCGACACCGCGCAGACTGCAACAGATGAGGCAGAGCCGTTGGCTAAAAAAGGAGATGGTTCTGAACTCCTAGAGCGCAGGGTGGATGATCTTCCGGGACTCGGGCAGGAGCAGGACAAACAGCTTGACCCACAGGCGGAAGCAAGGGATGTTCAAGGAGCCGAAGAAATGGCGCCGGTTTCTGGTGAACAAACAAATGAAGGGCCCAATGAGGCAACCTTGCCTACAAAGGGGAAGCCGTTCTATGTGGAAGGAGATAAGATCGTTGGACTTATTCGCTGCATCAATGCGTATGGAGCGTATTTGGAACATGGCGATTTGGATGTATTGATTCCTGACAAAGGGAAAGACACACCTCTGTTCAAGGTCGGGGATACCGTTGAAGCAGTGGTGAAAAAAGTTGAGAAAGATGGTACTGTGATCCTGGACACCCATCTGTTTTTGGCAGAGGACCAAGAGGACTCTTCTCCGACGCTGCGTAAATGGAAAGACAGCGGTTCAGGTACATGGTGGCAGGATTCATGGTACGCTGGTCAATGGTACCAAAATTTCTCCGACGGTCAATGGGACTGGAAAATGGAAGATTGGCAATGCTACGAGTGGTCTGCCAACCAGTGGATATCTCCAGAGGAATGGGATGAAGCTGTTCAAAAGCAACTCTGTGGAGAAAGAATCTACAAAGTACTCCTTGAGAATAGGAAGGAGGAAAAGGAGTATGTGGGCAAGATCACTGGAACATTGCTGGATCGTCGATTGGACGATGTTAGAGAGTTGGTAGCAGACCTCGCACTGTTGGAAAACGAAGCTCGAGCGGCTTACAATATGTTACTCAACGAAGGTTGGACGCCCAGCGGTGAAGAAGTTGCAGGTGGAGAAAAAATGAAATTTCCCCGGAAGCAGTATCACAATGCGCTTTACGACCTGGCACGTCGGCGAAGGGCTTATAGTGCCGCGGTCATAGGTGAAGCACTCGAGAAGATGCTTAACAAAGGAGAAAGTGAGCTCTGGAGTGAGCTCTGGTTGGACTCGAGGAAGATTTTGCAGGAACTGGATGGTGCAGTTGAAGCTATGCGTGTACAAGAGCAACGACCATTGGCAGCCTACATGGACCCAGAAAAGTACAAAAAGGGTCATATGACGCCAAAACCTGTGTCGAAAGGGTATACAAAGCTGTGCAAATTTTACAATCTAGGGAGGTGTCGCAATGGAAGCGATTGCCCCTTTGAGCACCGTCGTCATGGTGAAGGTTGGCCAGAAAGAGGTCCAGCTGAATCAGAGACCAGCCACAATACTGGTGATGAGGATGGGGATATCGGTGGCCCTCCAACTGATGAAGGTGCGGTGGATGAGGTACAGCAAGAACGGGAGGATTCGGCCTTCCGAGCCCAGTACAACTATGGCAAAGGGGCGTCAAAGGGTGAGCCTACATTGGTGGAGCCAAAGAAGCAGCTGTGTCTGTATTATGGAGTGAACCGTGATGGTTGCAAATATGGCGCTGCTTGCAGATATATCCACGATGACAAAGCAGTCCTAGAAGAGACTTGGGAACATGGCAAATCTTGGGACAATGCCTCCCGAAAGGCCATGAGGGATGAAGGGTTCCACAATTCCTGCTACGACTACTATGTCAAAGGGAAGTGTCGCGTGCGATATGGCGTTTGCAGGTTTTCTCACGATGAACTCTCCGATGAACGACTGGCTCGGTTGCGATATTTGGTGAATGTTGCTAACCAGGTGAAATTCCAAAAGGAAAGAGGACTGGAGATTCCAGATAGAAATACTTTCAAACCACCTACAATTGGGGGAGCCGAATCTTCATCATCCTCAGCACCGCCGGCACTGCAGTTGACCAATGTGTCCAAAGAAGGAGGTGTGATTGGTACGCTGGATGAAGCAGATGATGATGTACAGAAGGATTCGGTGGCAGAGTCCACCACTGTACCGCTTCCAGATCCAGGAGAGCCAATAGAACATTGGACGGCTCGCAACCAGCACCTGTGGGTATTCACACCTCATGTGAGTGAGGTGATGATCACGCTCGGCGTGACCAACGTGAAAGAGCTGAAGGAGTATATCTTTGTTGAAGATTTGGTTGAAAAAGGAATCAACAAAGTAACTGCCTGCAAAATTTTGAATTTGGTGGGTGGTGTCCGATACCGGCCAATGTCGCCGGATGTGGCTGTGTCTACCAATGCATCTGTACGTGTGGAACACTCTTCTGGAAGCCGCGAAGCTGGAAGGGATGCAGGGAGAACCATTTCTCAGGTGCGAGAAGCTGAAGGTCACGGTACAAAAGAGATGCCCCGAGGGTCGTATAAGGAAATCCTCAATAGAGGCCGTTACCGTGAGGCTTGGACTCTTGAGCAAAGGTCTCCGCTGTGCGTGCAGAAGTTGCAGTTGGTGGGAATGGGAATGCCGCCGGTCAACCCACCGAAAAAGGGTCTTCGAACAAGGTCCAACCCTGTGAAGAGGGGACGACCACTGCTGAATCGGAAACAAGTACAACTTGTGCCACGCTCTTATTCGAATCGGCGCATGAGGCCAGCGGAGGTGGTGGAAAAACCAAAGCCTTTGCAACCTCCTCGCGGTGGTTTATCCTTTCGATTTAGCAGATCGTGGGCAGATTTGGACGATGATGATCAAGATGGAGCTTTGGTCTCCTATGCTGAGTCGTCTGGTGAATCCAGTGCAGAAGAAGCCATCGAAGCGCGGCGGTTGAGGCAGGTCCTTTTGGAAGAAAGGGATTTAAAGAGAGCCACAAAAGGTGGCAATGTTCCACATCAGTGTTCTCAAGGTCCCAATGAAGGACATAAAAAGTCTACGCTTGGCGAGAAGCGCGACAAAGCGTCGCGGGGGGAGACCCGCCAAGATTTTTCGGTTTCAACATCTTCAAGCCAAAATGTTGCAGTCTCGAGTGGGACCGTGGATGGTTCTGTTGATGGTGGTTCGCTGGTGGTGGGCTCCACAGATGAGGCTTTACCTGGGCAAGGCGTTGCTGGACAGGTGAATATGTCTGAAAGCGTTCAAGTTCTACCTGGGCAAGATGTGGCTGGACAGGAGACGGCGCTAGGAGGAGCAGTACAAATTTCTGGCGATGAGACTGGGCAACCGGAAGGTGAAGATGGGAGCAATGAACTCCATGGTGATAGCACGAAAAAATTGGCTGTCCTGAGAAACCAGGAAGGGGTATTGACCAAAGCTCTTCTGACGCGGGTCTATTGGAAGGTTGCTGAGGATAGGATACCGGTTGAAAAGAAGGACTGTCCGAAAGGATCCATTAAAATGGATCGAAATTTGGTTATTAGCACGTCAACAGATGGCGTGAGTGAGCAAGAGCGCACTGGTGAATGACGCGAGTCCGTCAATGGAAGTGTGTACAGCTCTACTGCCATCGTATGATCCACAAGTATTGATACAGTCGCCAACGACAGGATGGGTTGCGCGCCGTGGTTTAGCAGATCGAGCTTTATGGACTGCAATTGCGGCATCCGCGCAAAATATATGTGCCGATATGATTCGGGTGGACGAAATTAATGCTCAGTTGGAAACTGGGAAGCTCCTTCTTCAAAGGAGGGATCAAGGATACTACGCTGACTTACATCATCCGTTCCATGATCATCCGTGTCTGCCGGCGGTGGGGAATTATCCGCTTTCGGTGATGGGAGCATTGCTATCGCCAGGTCTGGAGCATGAGTTCCGAAGCACAGAAACGTTCGGAACTGCAATGGAGGCCATAGCTTTTGATTGGAGCCGTACTCAAGGTATGGAGGCCCATGTTGAGCTGATGGCTGGGGCAGCAAAACTGGTTTCTCCGTTCCTTACCATGGGAGGCCAAGGGACGGTGGTAAATTCAGAGTTTATGTGGCAGCGCGGAAGGGACCAAATGATGGAATTCCTTCAAGCGGCAACGTGCGCTGATGAGCTGGAGGAGCTCTGGAGAAGGATGAACGATGATGACGAGGCGGAAGTGGATCCATCAGGTTATGTGCTGGAGTCCTTGGGACAAGAGGAGTCGGTTTTGGAACAAGGGAACGGTGAGGTTCCTAGCTCTTCTGGAAGTGGGAGAAACGTGGTCAACGACGCCGAGGCTGCTGGCAAAGCGCCGGAAATTTCTCCTGAGGTTGAGACAGCTGATGGTTCTACAAGGAGGTCAACCACGAGGTTTTTCCTGCAGAGGATGTACGAGAGCGTCTATGACAAGTTGTTTGCGGACCCTCCGCTACAAGACCGGCAAACTGGGAGGACGTTTGACAGCACCAAAGGTTATCCTGGTGAAGGGCCATTAAAAGATGGTCTCAATATTCCTACACAAGGAATGCCTTGGATTTCTGAGGATCATCTTGATAGGGTGGTCGCAAAAAAGTGGGATCAGTCCTCGGATCAAGGGGAAGGTGGTTCTCTTGAGTCGGAGGGTGAAAGCCAGCCTAAATCAGTTCAGGTAGAGAACGCGTCTACTAAAAAGGTCCTTAGAGCTCTGTGGCGGAAAGGATATAGGGCTGGATATGGAAGGTTGTGTCGTGTGAATGGGATCGGCTTGAAAAATGGGACAGTCAAGGTTCCAATTAGGGCTGCACGGAGGCCTGGTTCTGAAATGCTCTTTCTGAAGAAGCCACTTATTCGTGGATCGGCTCAGCATGGCTCAGGAGCTGATGGAAAAATATTCACGAAGGTGATAAAAACAAGGCCAGGTTTTCCAGCTGTTCCTGATATGCCACGCACCACTAGCGCACTGGGTGAAAAGGATAGTTCTCAAGTGCTTGGCAATGTTCAAGTAGAGCAATCTCGCCCCATGGATCGTTATGATGCTGAACGACAGGCAAAAAGGCAGAAAGGTTTCTGCTACTGGTTCAGCAGGGGAAAAAATAATTGCAGATTTGGTGAGGACTGCAAATTTATTCACTCAGAAGATGATGTGGCGCTTCCGGCGTATTGGTGCAAATATTACGTGGCAGGGAGAGTTTGTCATGCTGGTCCTGAGTGCAAGTTTTCACATGATGCAGCTGGTGTAAGGTGTATTCAGTTTTACCAGACGGGAATGTGCCGTCGTGGCGATGGGTGCGTCTTCGAACATGGTGAAACCTTAGGTGAAACAAGACCTAGGTCTCCAAGGACGCCGCCAAGGGACCGCCAGAGGAGGAGCGATGGTGGTGAATATGGTGAAAGACGCTGTTCCCCTGAAAGGCTGGAGGAGGAGGATCTAATGGTTTATGACGACGATACCAGACGGATGGAGTTGCTGATGGAAGCGGTGTCATATATGTCTGGTGGAAAGCCGGATTTGGCATTTGCTGAAGCAGAACCAGTGTTCAAACTCATTAAGTTCGAAGGTGACGAAGAGCTGAGGAGTGCCGAATGGTGTTCTTGGACGACTGGTATGTTGACTCCATTGGAACTTCACGAGGTAGTGAAGTCGTTTGAGGTTTCGTTGGATGAGGTGGAAGAATGGACGAGTGACCTGAGGATCTGGTATGACAAAGCCAATCTTGATGAAGGGGGTACTTCCAAAAAAGGGAGAAAAAGGTCCCTAGAAGGGGATTTCATTGAGGATGCTCCCGAAAAGGAGGCGGTGCCAGAGACCTCGGAGACAAGGGTCAATGTCGATGAGGAGTTGAAGAAGACTAAAAAGAGGAAGAAGCCGGCTGCAACGGAGGATCCTTACACACTCTTGGTTCCAAGGCCAAAAAAGCGACCAGCAAATGTGGACAAGAGTGGGTCTTCGTCAAAGGCGGTGGTTTCAGGTGAGGAGAAGCCTTCTTCAAAGGCGCGTACAAAGTCTGGTGGTTCAGGTAAAAGCCGGAAGAAGGAGAAGAGCCAGAGTCCTGGAAAGAAGGAAGTATCAGTGGTGGAAGGTTCTGAAGAAAAGGATTGTCCCTCTGAAAAGGGTGCTCAGGCATCTGCCGTAGCCGAAGCTGGGCCGGAACAGGCATGTTCTGCAGTGGAGGAGGCGAAGAGGGAGGGTATGATCTCTTCAATTCAGAGGTCTGTGATGGATCCGATTCTTACAGTGTGGGATCTGGAGCAAATTCTGATCCGCCTTCGTTTGAGCATTGATGCCAATCGGGCTAAGGCGAAAGAGTGACCATCGCTGAATGGAGCATGGTGGCTTTTCTTTTTTCTGGATATCAACGTACTGGACAACCAATGCGCTGCAGAAAAATGGGTGGTGGTTACTGTTAAGGGTATGGAAATCCCTGACAGTAGAGAGTGTATAGTTTTTGGATAGCGAAGACCGCGGTTCGTGGTGAAAAAGGCTGAAAGGTCTTCAAAGAAGTGATAGAATTCATTCGTCCTGGAAGACGTTAAACCACAAGATGCATTTCAAGCAGCTGGCTGCTGCCGTAAAGGTAGTTTTTGGCCGAAAATCTGCATCTCCAGTCTGTGTCCTAGGAAATCCTAGGACAGGGGGAGTGCGGAGCTGCAGTTTGTATTCAGGAATTGGGTTAGAGTTAAAAGAAAAGGGGTCAATGTACCTGACAATATCTGGCTCAAGGATGGCCAGGAGTACTGAGGCCACAAGCAAAAAAGAGGTAGAGCCCGCGTGGTTGGGGTTGGGGTTGGTTCCTGGTTGCTTAGGCATAGGCCCCCTTTACTCCCTTCCCTGGTTCTTCTTACTCCGTGTTCTGTGTTTGGATTTGCTGGTTGGTCTGGGGAATATAAATTCAGGGTGTTCATTGGGGTTGATCCCTTCCCCCTTTTGGGTGCCCCCCCGTATAGGGTTTAGGGTTGCCTTAAGAACTGGAAGCTTAATTTTGTGTAGGTAGGTTGCCTAAGAGTCGGTTTAACAAACAAACAACCATCCCATACCATTCTTCAACCCTAGCTGGCCCCTCAACGCTCAACAGTGCGCCCAGCTCAGTGCCGTCTGGACCCCCGCGAGCGCCGTCGCGAACGGCTCCTCTTCCGGGACTCTTTGTCTCGCTGCATCAGCTGCAGGATTACCGTCTTGGCCAACTCGGGCTTTTCCTGTAGCAACTCATCCAACTTGCCCCTGTGCCGATCTAGGACGGAGTGGGTCTTCTCCTTCAGCATATCCAGGCAGAAGCTTTCCAGCCGCCCGCCCTTGCCGTACACGTGCCCCAAGAAAATCAAAAGATTGTCCCGGGACACCAACTGCATTAGCTCCGTGTCAATGCGCTCCACGAAATCGGCCATTCCATACCTGTCTGCAAACTGCCGAACGGACAGCGCCCACGTCGAATCTTCGGCGGAGAAGGTGTTGGACATGAGGTAGCGGAACATCGCCAAGATCGTGCGGCGATCCGCCAGGCGGTCTTTGCTCAGGTCGACCTCGTTGGTCTGTCCTTCCAACCAGGACTGCGACTCGAACATTGTCCTAAAATATTCCGACCGCGCCACCAGAATCCGCTTGTCAAAGTAAAGCAAAGGCTCCTCGCACAACTTAAAGACCACCTGCGGCGATTGCTGTGCAAAGTCAAGCTTTCTGAACAGCATCGTGTCAAGAGGGTCAGCAGGGGCCTGGAACCTTGCTCTTGCAGTCACGAACAGCTCGTCTTCCGCATTGCACCAGCCCTCCTCGATCGTCAGATGCCGGCTGGGCAGGAGAGGCCGAGCCCCGACAGAGCTCGACTTGTCGCAGAAGGTCTTCTTCCACAGCCTCCGGACGCGCAGGGCCTCGTCCTTGAAGTTCCGCACTTCGAGCTCGACCTCGACATCTGGGCAAACCCACTTCGAGCAAGAGTTCCTCGGTGGCAGCACCTGCACGGCTACGGCCAAGCAGTCCTCCCATTGCGAGGACTCTTCAGAACTCGAGGCTTCCGAGTAGCTCCTATGCTTCCCCATGGGCCAAACCTTGAGGCAAATGGAGAAACTGCACCAAGGCCCGGCAGGCTCACGGAAGAAGCGGCACTTCCGAGGGTGCTGGATGACCGCCTCTGCACACTCCTCCCGCTGCCTGGGAGCTGGCGCATCCTTTGTTTTCTCTGGCCCTTCCTCCATGGCCAAGATGTGGCAACACCCAAGGCAGGCCTACGTGTCTGTGTAATTCTCTATCTTTTCTATGGACCTGTACCCTGAAATCCGCAACTCAGACTCTGACCGTGGTTTCAACTTATGGCTTGCTTCGGCGTTTCCTAGAGCAGCTCTGGCCCAAGCCGATTGCCAGCCCCACAACACGTCATGTCAGCAACCATGCTCATGGAGCAGCTGCCGCCCCCCTGCTGTTACTCTTCGTCTGTTTTTTGAGGCCTCTGAGAGCCTTGGCAGCCTCTTCTAGCCCCTGTAAGTTCTGACACGCCTTCAAACCTGAGCGCACCTTGCACCAGTCCAGCTTCTTATCTTCATCCTGCTGCTCCTTCTTCAGGATGTTGATCATGTCCTTAGCTTAGATCGTAGTGGGCATTCCGCTAGGTGTGCATGCCATGTGCATTGGACCCTGACATGCTGAAGCCCTTCCCCTGAACTCATCATCTCCGACGAAACATCACTATTTCCTGAAGCATGTACCGACATGACCTAAGTCCGTCAAAGCCATGAAAAATGTGACACATGTTGAAAGAAAGCGCGACTTCGGAAAAGGCTCTGCCCTAAACCCCACAACCCTCAGCCCCATAACTTGAGAAGCCTATCCTATAAAACCCTACAGCCCTATAACCTACAACCCTAAGCTTTGTGTGCCAAGAATCGGAAACCTTCGCCTGCACCTTCTTGAAATCGATCTTGCCTGAACGCCTCGGGGTGGGCCAAATGTAGTGGGGGGCCCTAAACCCTAAACCCTAAACCCTAAACCTTAATCCCTAAACCCTAAACGCGAAGCGGGGGGTTTGGGGTGGGTTCAGTGTTTAGGGTTCCGGAATTTAGGGCCAGGCTTCGGGCTCGCTGGTTTATAATACTCCTTTAGGCCCTAGGGGCTTGTTTTGGGATGTTCCCCCTAATACTAACAGTCGTTAATAGGGATTATAGCAGCCTCTATTGTAATCCCTATTAAGGACTGTTAGTACAAGGGGGAACATCCCCAGGCTTATGAATTAAGGAAGTTCATCCTGCGCCGATGCTTGTTGCTTTGCTAAAGCCCAGCGTGGACCGAAGAACAGCACGAACAAACTCTTCTACAGATGCTTGAAGCTTTGTTTAATCCGACTTTACTTAGCTTGAACTAGATACGAATGTATATATATATATACATGTATATATATATATATGTGTGTGTGTGTATGTGTACGTACATGTATTATAAACATACATAAATAAATCTAAAAATAGAAAAATATAAAAAAATATATAAATACAAATATACATATATATATATATGTATATTATCATGAAACTACAGCTACATGAATCGGACTTTCAGTCGACGTTATAACACGGCCCTGTGTGCTAAGGCCAACCCAGACTATGACTTGGAGCACTGGCTGAGGGGCTTCTATCCCGAGAGATCCCAAGAATCTTCGGGGCAGGGCATGGCAGGCCCTTCATCAAGATGATCCTCTTTAGCCCAATAAGGGAAACTACGAAATCTTCCCATGGCCTACCCCAAAATTGGGGCGAAAAGACCCAGCTCCACCCTGCCACCAAAGGGCACAGCCAGTGCCAGCAATGCGACACGCGGATCTCGGGAGCCTCTTTGTAGCGCGCTGAAGCTGGTCGGCAGCTTCGTTGCGTTCGGGGCACTTCTGCTGTCAGAAATTAACATATTGTGGCCATGACCCCCCAAAGACTAACTCCGAGCCCTACACCACCTCCATAGCAGGGGATGCACGGAAGCTGCAACACTCTACCCGGGATTCCGCGGAGAAATAGGCATCAACGTGGAATCAGTTGAACCAAGTCAGGTTGGACCAGAGGCGTATACGTGTTAAAAGCCTACCTGCACGGGAAGCCTGGGGTCTAAATATGCTCGTATACAGTAATTATCATCCTTGCATCTCTAAGTTTTCAAAGTACATGTTAAAGTATATGCAACAAAAACGACCAATATTTTACTTCCAACATCCCCACCCTCTCTGGGTAGAGATAATCTGGGGGTGTGCACTCCAGGGACACTCTGGGGTTGGGACTCCAGGGATGAGCGAGGAGCAGACCGGGCGAGGAGAAGAGTTCCGGGCGAGGAGAAGAGTTGAATTTAAAATCTAACAACCCCACGCCGAGGGTGGGGAATAAAGGTACAGTTCTGCTTCAAAGGGTCATGGGATACTCTAGGCAGGGTTAAGCAACACCTGCCTTGCAGACCGTCCACAGCCTTTCCGGTGGCCGCACCGCCCGAAGTGGAAGACACCTGGTGGGAAATCCACATGGGATGGCATCTTCAAGAACCTTGAGAGCGTAGAGTTTAGGTCCCAGGATGGGAGGGGGGGTCGATCGAAGAGTTGAACCACCACCCCTCAACTTCCGAGCAACAACTCGCGGATTCACACAACCACCTCATCACGCTCAACCTATATAAGCAAACGCTGCAAAATCGTACAGCCCTCAACCCACCATTCCCACAGGAGAACGAAACCCGCCTGCTTTTTTGATCAGACCCTATAAATAGAACTACGCCCGTTTTTTAAATTATCGGCTGTTTGCCCCCATAGCCCGCTAATGAGCAAGCAGACCCCGCCAAAAAGGAACAATGGCCCACTCTGTCCACTCTGCATGCCAGAGGAAACAGTCTCATGCAGAAGTTCAGACGTGTTTAGGGTCTTGTCCGGCTTAGTAGTGAAGGGGTAGATTGTACAGTAGAATGTCGCTGGGCTGAGATAGTGTACCCCTAAGCCGTCCGCGGTCGTGACAAGACGCAATCATCCTCCTCCTGTGTCAGAGCCTTACGATCCCCAACTCTAAGCGCAGGTGGTCTCTGAAGCCCCAAAGCCCCCAAACCCTCAACCTTTAATGCCCTCAACTCCAACACCCCTCGACTTCCACCAGCTACAGACTAACTTACCCTGAGCCACAAGCACTCACTTAGTGCATCAATGTATAAACTCAATTCCCGCTCACCCTAAAGCCAAAACCCCAAATCCCAACCCTGAACCCTGAACCCTGAACCCTGAACCCTAAACCCTAAACCCTAAACCCTAAACCCTAAACCCTAAACCCTAAACCCTAAACCCTGTCGAAGCAGTGCCTGCAGGAGGGCCACCCCTGGCTTAGAGGGCATGACCTTCTCAAAGAGGCCCCGAGCCTGGTATCGCCAAGCTTGCGTAACGTGGCTCTTGGTCTTGGTAAAAAGCCCAGAAAAGCCATCTTCCCAAATTTGAGGGTACCCTTTTTTGGGGGGGGTCCCTTTACAGGGACTCTATTCTATTTGGTAAGAAAAGGGGTCACCTATTTTCGTAAACCCCCATACATAACAGGGCTAATCCCGTTTTTGGGTTGGTTACTTTTTTTGGGAACCCAGAACCCCCCCCCCCCCAAACAAAAAAAAAAAAAAATCAAGGGGTACCACTGGTCTACCAAGTACTAGAGAATTTTCAGTGTCCCCACATAAGCCCTTGAAGGGTAAGAAATACCTGACTCCCCAATACCCTATACTAAGACCTTGTGGGTTTAGGGTTGCCAGGGGGGGGGGGGGGGGGCGGGTTCTGGAGGCGACTCTCGAAAGGCTGGAGAAAGCAGTTGTGGGGCCTCGGGAAGGGCAACACCAACAGTTGCAGTTGCTATACATAATGTCAGCAACAGCAACGTCTGCGCTAGCAAGCAGCTCTCTATCAGACAAGAGGAGCGCTCGAATACACTATCCCCGGCACCAGCACTCGTTGCAACTACTTGGCTGTCTTTCCCCCATTGCAACCCTAACCTGAGCCACCGCTGAAGCTCCCTGGCCTCCTCGTTGCCCAACAGCTCCTGTCAAAGGGAACACTCTGACCCCTCTGGGTTCAGGGCTGTGAATGTCGAGCCCTTCACCACATGGAACGTTGAACCTGCAAACCTGCAGTGAAAACTACGAGGTCCCCCCCCCCCCCCCCTAAAACCATAGCCACATCTCATGGATTCCACCCCAAGTTGCAATCTTACAACCCAATCTAGAGCCAATGAAAGCCCTACTCAAAGTCACATCTTCTCTCCCAGAAGTTATATAAGACCACAGGTTTAAGGTTTCGGGTTTAGGGTTTAATTAGGATTGAGGGTTTAGGATTTAGGGTTTAGGGTTCCTGTGTGCGGCATCACAAGGCTCACCCTCTCCTGCGTCTCCGTGAAGGCACTCAGTTCCTCCTGCCTTGCCGCTGTTCGGCTCCGCCAGTCCTGCTGGTTTGGCTTAAAGACCCTAAACCCTAAACCCCAAACCCCAGCCCAGGCCCGGTAACCCCAAGCCGCTACTGTGACCCCTTTGCCTTTACCCATCTTCGGGTTCCAGGGTTTCCCAGGCACCAGTCCCTTAAACCCCGAAACCGTCCACGGAGCAAGGCTGTGGGTGAGGACTTGCGGGTTTCAAGGGTTGAGGGTTTAGATCACCCCCACCCCCCCCCCCCCGTCAGTTACCTTACAAGCTGTGGTTTGTTGCAGATCGGGCAGCATTCAGGGAACCTTCGAAGCCTCCGGCTGGAGGGTTGAAAACCAAAGCCCTTTGGTGGATGCTGGAGCTGTTACAGATGCCATCTTGCTCAGAAATCAGCAACCCCGAACCCGAATTTCCTCAACACGGGGTTTGGGGCTTAGACGCAAGGTGAGAGGTGGAGTGTGCTGGGAGCCCGCCCCTAGTCAACCCAGCCAACCCATAATCGTAAGTCAACCTGAACTCCTTCTGCAAGGCTCTTACCGCTAGTGAATGGGTTCAGGGTTTAGACTTTGAGGTTACAAGGGGCTGGTTTAACTCACATCTTTGCGTGTGAAGTCACAGCTCCTCAGTGACACGCGGCTGCGAGCCAAGTCACATCACCCCGCGAAAAGTCGCATGTCTCTACACAAGAAGATACGACTTAACCTACCCCCTTGTACGACCGGAAGAGTCAACTCGAGAACCCTGAAGCTAGGGTCATGCAATGGCACATTGGCAATTCTGAAACTCGTTGACAGATGCCCGCAAAACAGCACACACCTCAACAAGCAGCAACAACCTCAACAACAATACACCACAAACTAGAGGATTCTGCTGGAAACATCTGGATGTATGGCCAATGCCTGGTTGACAGGCCCCCGAGTCAACTTTCAAAAAGCCGTGTCGACTTCCATTAGGCACGTTTCCAGCTCGGCATCTGAGTCCTGCTCTTGGTTCGAGCAGCTCTCTTTGGTGTCGGAGAGGAAAGCCGAATCTTCCTGGCTCAGCACAGTGCCATGATGGGAGCGGGGCTTATTGACCTGGCTGTGGCTACAACTGCCGAACACTAGCTGCACAAACCAGAGAGCATTAGTAAACACCTCTGGGAACGCGAGAACATCATCCCTTGTGTCGGCCTGAACCTTCTTGTTGCTGTCATCGATCGATGACTGCTTGTTGACCATGTCAACGCTAATTTGGCCAATCCTGGCACGAGAGACGCTTAGTGGCAGCCCGCACATGCACCTGAACCTCAGTCTCCTCAGTCCAATGGCCTGCCCCCAACTTGAGGGCCGGAGGCAGGGAGGACGAAAGCTCGGGGGCCAGAAGCAAGAGCAAAGTTGCAAGAGAAAGTGCGGGCAGGGCCCAGTTGGAGGCATGCTTGAGGGGCCAGCGTCTTCTTTTCAGCCGTCGCAGTGTTGGTAGATACTAGCTTCTTGCAATCAACTAGCTTGTTGCAATCAACACATCACTAGTGGGCGGCGACGCATGTTGTGCTGGGACCCTGACTCACGCGCTGCGGTCAACACGCGACGGAGTCAGGTCTTGACGTAAAAACGCCTCCCCTTAAGGTATTGATATATCAATGTACCCCCCCCCCCCCCAACCCCCACCCCCCCCACCCCCCCCCCCTCCAAAACCAGGGAATTCGTGTGATGTATCAATTTACCCCCCCCCCCCTCCCCCCCCCTTCCAAAACCAAGGAATTCGTGTGATATATCAATTTACCCCCCCCCCCACCCCCCCCCCTAATAAGATAGTATCAATAATACGCTGTTTTCTGGCCGTGGTCGGCCCCCTGCTGCTAAAGCAGATAAAACTCCAGCTTCGCTACGCGAGCTTTCGTGACTTGCTGCCCTGTTCATGAAGGAGAATCGGTGTGCCCGGTGTGCCTGGTAGTCTTGGCCTCGATCTCCGTGTCCTTGCTTCAGACGGGCTGGTATAACTGTATATGGGAGTCTGGGCATGACGCAGTATGCTGCAAGAGGCCCTTTCGTGCTCGGAGACGAGATGTGAGAGACTCAGGAACACATAAACGCACTGTGAGGAAGCTTCAAGTACGTCGTCTGGCTCAACGAGGGGGCTAGGGGAACTAACTTGGCAACATGGGGCAACGAGAGTTTGAACGAACGAACGGAACTGACCCTACTCTGCTTTGGCCGCTACTCCCGACCGCAGCGCCAGTGAGATCGAGTGAGGCCCTTGCCAGCGTGGCCACCTCGGCTGTCTTTGCTCGCACCATACCCAGGAAGCTCTGCTGAGCCTCGCCAGGGCTGCGGGATTTGCACTTAAGGTACGTCTGGTGCAGGATCAGGCCTGCTTCTTCGAGTCGGCTGAGGTTTTAAGCAGGCTTTGCTCGCGGATCATTGAGTGCGTCCGGCCCAACGCGAAAAACGCCGCTAAACCCTGAAGCCTATGCCCCTAAGCCTCACCCCTTATCACCCCTTCGAGGACCCTACAGAACCCTCGGACCCGCCGCCTCAGTCTCACGAGTGTCTGCAGCCGTCTGGTCCTTGTCATGTTGAGCGAGTTCGGGCTTCAACCATAAGCTACCTGCAAGCTACTGGTTCCCAATAGGGAGTTTAGGATGACGTCTCCGAAAAATACTCCGACCCGATAGAAAAGAGCTGCAAGCCCGCAGCAGGACCCTGCTTGGGGCTTACAGCACAGAAAGTATCGTGCCGTTTGCGCTCCTCAACTCCACTCTTTCTGGTTATAGTCATTTCGGACATGCCCCGCCCACGCTCCCCCTCATGCAGAACAAGCCCTACAGTATGGGCCCGTCCTCCTTCATCGAGTCCCTCATCGACCTGAGGCGCGCTTCTGACCACGACCCTACATCCGAAACCCCAAAACCCCCAAACCAAACCTCACAACCAACTCTGAAGGTTTGCTGCAGTACCGGAAGTGTAACAGTGTAGGGTAAACAGGGATTTAGGGTTTCAGGTGATGCCAAGCCACTGGAGTGTGCCCACGACCATGCTGCTGCTCGGGCTGGACGCAGAGTCGTCTTCAGCTGCAAAGATGCTTGCCAGCGCATCGCGGTCGGAGACCCTGCGCAAGCTCTGCCCCCCTTTCAGTTCGAACATCCCCATGTATACTTACCTTTCAAAATGAAAAGTGGGCCTAGCAACGTAGCCGACACCGACAACCGGATCCAGCACATCAACGACACCGACCCATCTTGCCCACTGATAGGCTTTCTGCCGAACTGGACTCCAGGTATGGTTTTTATTCAAGCAGCAGCTGCCTGAGATTGGCTGAGGAGACCATCTGCCGCAGCACATCCGCGTCGCTCGTCTGCAGGAAGCTACCTTTTGGCACCGGCGGAGTCTTAGTGGGATATTGAAGGACAACCGAATGCAACAGCGGTAGCAATGATCTAGAAGCTCGCGACTTTAAACTGAATTGCTCGGATCAGCAATCGCCGAAGATTTCCTGCTGTCCATGCCTGTAATTACAACCTGTGAGCACCCGTGGTCCAGCCCACTTCTGCCTTTCCACGCAAAGGTGTGCGTGTGCGTGTGCGTGTGCGTGTGCGTGTGCGTGTGGGTGTGGGTGTGGGTGACTGGGCTTTGGCATGCTTTGGGTCTGCAAGGCGCCCACGGGCCTATACTTGCAGTCAAAGCCACCTGCCAGCCCCTTTTCCAATGCAGCGATCGCCTTCTCAACAGCTGCGATGCTCTTCTCCGACTCCGCCTGCACCAAAGGTTCTCCCAATAAAAACCTTAAAAACCTAAGGTGCGCTCCCCTGTCGCAAGACTCCAGAACCCCGCCTCCCCCTCCCCACCCCGCCAAATAAACAAACATCTCCCGCCCAATTCCCTCGCGCGCAAAGCATATGGGACCGCGAGTCTTAGGATCCTTTCTGTTCTTCACCTCATGGGACGTAGTTGGCTCTTGGCCCAACTACTGGTGACGTTTGAGTTGGGATGATTCGGCCCGGCACCAGGGCTTCCAAAAATCATACTGTCATACCGTCATACCCGGCTTCTAGGAGGGCTTGGATACAAGCCTGAAGAACCTGAAGCCTTTTGTGGGTAATTGATAGAGGGTAACCTCCGAAAAAAACAAGTTCGAAGTTCCGGTAAACTCGCAGGACGTGGTCAAAGACATAAAGGGAACGGATCGGACATCTCCACGGCCGCAGCCTCGCCGAAAGCAGTGGCAACAAAAAGCTGGCGGTCCTTCAGAGTGACATAGTCTTTGGCATCTTTTTGCCTGGCTTCGCGGTCTTGTGCCAAAAAAAGCACATCCTACACCATGAAACTATGCCCAAGGATTGCTGTCAAAGCATTGGTTGAGACATGAAACGGGGTGCAGACACTCGCTGAACTACGCCCCCTAAACCCTAAACCCTAAAGCCTAAACCCTAAACTCTAAACCCCGAACCTAAACCCCTACAAACCCCTCTAGCGGATGCCCACGTTAGAACACCGATCCCAATGCCTTCCTGCCCCTTCGCAAACCCCACATCCTCCCCCCCAATCCCGAAGCCCTGCAACTCACAGGTGCTTAGTCGTGGATTCATGGACTGAGGTCCCCCAATAAGTGCCTTGAAGGGCTAACTCTTGGGAGCGATGAGGGACTCTCGCAAACATAGATGCTTGAAGCCCCGACAGGCTCTAGGGGTTTTGCCTTGGACGTACCCTTGGGGTTTGGGACACTTTTTTTAAAGATCCTTAAGGTAGTATGTAGAAGAGGCCATATCAGCCCTATACCCTAAACCCCAAACCTTAGGAGTATGCTATCGAGGAACCTTTAGAGGTGCAGGGTTCAGGCTTCAGGGTTTATAGGGTTTAGGGTTGGGGGGGGGGGGGGGGGAAATTTGGGAAGACTTCTCTTCAAGAGAAGCAACAAGGAAGCTAGATGGGGTTTAGGGGTTTCGGGTTTAAGCCATGGACCCTAAACCCTAAACCCTAAACCCTCCTAAACCCTAAACCCTAAACCCTAAACCCTAAACCCTAAACCCCGCCTCAGTTCCTTGGCGCCCGTGAGGGCGGCTATCGCCTCCTTCTTGTCCGACGCCGCCTGCTCCTGGATTTCGGTGTCTAGGCTCCACTCCCCTTAGAACCTCAATAATCTATTTCTAATATTCCCTAACGGTTTATAAATTAGAAAATCATTCGAAAGGGGGCAACGGTAGGGGTTTAGTGTCGAGATAGGGTTTAGGGATTTTGGGGCTTCGGAGGTGTTGGTGCTTGGGGGAAACGCCCGACTGTAGACATCACTGACATAGGACTTGCCAAGATCGATTGCAGGTTGCCTCTCACTGCAAAGCGCTGGCTAAACCCCTAAACAGGGCCTGTGCGGCTCAAACCCTAAACCCTAAACCCTAAACCCTAAACCCTAAACCTTATACCCTAGGGTTGGGAGTTTAACAGTTTACGGGCTTCTTTCTGTCCCTCGCCCTACAGGTCCTCTCACTCCCAAGCCCTCTCAATCCTGCACTTGCAAACCTCGAAAGCAATCGAAACCCTATAATACCCTATACCCGATAATGCCCTATACTACCCTGTACTACCCTTCTATGATACCCCATGATACCCTGTAATACCCCAATACCCCTAGACCCAGGAGTAACCTAGGAACCCTTTTTGGTTTTAAGGGGATTAATGTTGACTTCACATTACCGGTTCCCGCTACAATTATAAAATCCCGGGGCCGGAACACAATAATCTCGCCCCCCACAATTATAAAACCACCCCCCCCTTTTTTTAGGGAGATGTTCCAGGTTGCTTAAACTTATAAGTTTAAGGGGGGGAGTTTAGAGCTTGCTGGCTGCAGGGAGATGCTCCAGGTTGCTACTACTACTACTACTACTACTACTACTACTACTACTACTACTACTACTACTACTACTACTACTACTACTACCTAATACTAAAACTAATAGAAAATCCTACCAGGATTTAGGCGAATGCAATTGAGGAGGCCCCTGGCCGAAAAGATTGATCAACGGGGGGGGGGGGGGTTATTAATGCGAAGTCAACATTATAAGGGAACCTCAGCCCCAAAAAGGGAATAAGGGCCTACTCCGGGTCCTAGACCCTAACCCCATAATCCCCTACAATAGCCCTGAAACCCCAAGAGCACTGACATCAACTCTCGTTCGCCTTCTCCGCCTCGAGCTGCGCCTTCTGTGCCGTCATCGCCATGAGGTCGCTCTGGAGGACAGGGAGCCTGTCGAGGGAGTTAGGATTTAGGATTTATAGGCTTTGTAGGGTTTAGGGGTTCGGGTTTCGGGGAGGGTAGGGGGGGGGGGGGGTTGAAGGCCTTTAGTAGGACTTGCGGTTCAGGAAGCACTTGGCAATAGTCCGTCTAGTTAACGACAGTCAGTCGGCTTAGGGTTCTCTTTGTCGACGGGGAAGGAGGGGAGTTTCGGTTTCGAGCTTAGGGAGAATCATTTTTGGCAAGGACACACTGCACTCTGAGCCGCGGGCTACAAGTACTTTGCAGGTTTAGCTTGAGATACATTACTCCTCACCCAGCCTCGACTGCTCCTGGCCAATCCCATCCTCCAAAGACTTCAGCGTCTTCTTGCAGTGGCACTGCCTCAAGGAGGAAGGAGCTGCATAAAGAACAAAAACGAGCCTGCTTCTCAGTATTGGGATCCTTTTTCAAGGGGATTCTACTATATTCGGGTACCCCCCATGATAGGAAACGCCCATGCCGAGACACATCTTCTCCCAGAGCTTCTCTTCATCTTTCCCCTGCTTGACCACTTTGTCCTGATGGATGCTGCGCTGCACAGGTGAGTTTTTTCAACTCTGTCAAAAGGAAAATTCATAGCTAGCAGGAGTGTTGTTTTGAGTATGAGGAGGAGGTGGTTTCCGTTTACAAATCATAATCAGACACCATGCGCAGCTGCTTGTCATTGAATCATGTGATTGGATGGTGCAATCTTGCCACGCAGTCTTCCTGCATCTGCCTGCCCTTTCTCTTGATTTCGGCTCCCAGAGAAGTCCTTGAGCAGCTCTAGCAGCCGCGTGACGCGAGCCACCGGACTGGCTTGAAATTTGACAGCAGCAAGGAGGATGGGGAGGAGCAAAGCGAGCCTCGGCAGGAAAACTGCAAAGTCATCGGATCCGAAGACCATCTACTTAAGATCCCAAGGCTCCGAATGCAGTGTGCGCCTGACTCTGGACCTGAAAGTTTCTTGGCAGTGCCACCTTGCCGGCGCAGGATTGAGGCACGGGCAGCTTCATCTCCGAGATAGGAAAGGCTGAACCTGCACGTCTCGCAATGTAGCGCATTGCGGTAGCGATCTTGCTACAAGCGTCCACAAGCTCTCCGACAAACATGAGAGACTCGGCAGGCGCATGAGGGCGCGCGACTCGACACCCAAGGTAAAAATCCGTCTTACGCCATGTCGTACACAGCTCCCCTCTTTGGTGCCCGTCTCTTCTTCTCCCTGCGTCCCCCATCCAGCGCTTACTTGAACATTTGGTTTCTTTGCCTGATTCTTGCCAGTGCGGTGGGGCAGTGCTTCCCCCACCCCGCGCCACCCCCGGCTCCCTCTGTCTCTCAAATAGCGTTTACGTGCTGCTTCTCTTGTGACGGGCTTTTGCTTTGAGTTCGGGTGAGCCAAGCCAGGGTTCCCCGCGACTGGCCGAGCAATTCTCAAACTCTTGGGAGCCCATGGGACACCCTTGACCTGGCTAATCCCTTCCCCCTAATATTAAACTTATTAAACGGGGGGCCCCCCCCCCCCCCCCTAATGGAAACTGCAAAGTGTTTTTATACTTAGGGGGGGGGGGGGGTTTTATCCAAATGTCCTGAACCCTACTAAGCCCTAAACCCTTAACCCTAGACCCCCAACCCTAAACCCTGAGGGTTTTATTGGTGTTGAGGGAAATTCGGAATAGGGTTTAAAAAGGCGGGCTCGGTTTCGGGAGGATTTTCCGGAATGTGTTTTTGTTATTAGGGGGCGTTTAGTAAAAGGGGGAAGGGATTAAGGTGTACATCGTCCCTCCGTGCTAACTCCCCTCTCCTTGCAAGCTACCCTATTCAAACGTGCCTCTGCTCCGCTGCGTCATTATCTATCTCCCTGCCTCCTATTACCTGCACCCACTGTCATCCCAATCTGGGCCCGCCGCCGCGCCTCCCGAGGCGGAGGTCGCGGGACCATGGGCTTTCCCAAAAAGCCCCCGCGGCCCGGGTCACTTCATTCCAGAGGACGGCTGCGCAGGCGACTGGGGGTGCGGAAGTGGGCAGGTGGGGAGTATATGGGGATCAGGCAAGGCATCCACTTTTCCACGCTCGCCCTTAAGCACCCCTGAATAGACATCACATTCCTTATTCCCGAGTCATAGAAGCCCTCACTTTCGGCATTTAATTTAGGGTTAATGTTGGACTGGCTTTAGTGAGAGGGGGCACTATTATGCGATGTTCCGGAAATCTTATAGGGGACCCCCCCATTGATAGGGTGGGCCTCAATAATGCGATGTTTGCCGGCCAGGGTTGGGGCAAAAAATGTTTTGAGTTGGTTGACTTAGAGAGAACAAACGGAAGCTGAAGGCTGGTTTCTTTCTACTGGTACTACTACGACGACGACAACCCCAGCCCACATTATTCAGGATCCCCGAAAACCCCAAAATTGTTTGGTGGGGGGGGGGGGGGGGGGCCCCTACGTACTAAAGCGAGTCCAACATTACAGGAACAGGTTTTCAGTTCTGAGGCTATTCCTGTTGGGAGGGGGGGGGGGGGGGCTGAGCCGAGGGTCTTTGAGGCTGGGATCAAAGTGAAAGCAGAACTTGTTTTGTTCACACAACCAAGCGTCGTGCAGCAGGGGAGGGCGGCTTAGAGCACTTGAAGTCTACACTTAAGTACCTCACTACACAAAAAAATGAATATATATATATATATATATATAATCTATATATATATATATATCGGAGATGATCCTGCTTCTGTGATTAGTTAAATCAAGCCGAGCTCGTCTGCTAGGAGAAGGGACATGACGTCCTCCGCATCCAGATCTCTCTGGCACTTCCGTCGAGGAAGGAGACGTCTCCGCAAGAAAATGACTTTGAGGAATGCACGCAAAGCAACCATGTCAGCTTAAAAGAAGGGCTTATGTCAGTTGAGGCCCCCAGCCCTGAGACCTTGGCTGTATTGGGGGGTCTAGGATAGATTTTCCGCAGCTGCCATACCTCATGGGCAAAAAGCTCAACGCTACCGAAAGCAAGCGGAGTGGAACTGAAGACTCAGAGGGCAAAGGGCGGCGCATTAGCATTGGGAGTCAAAACATGTCCACATGCGACTGCCTCGATACATCCTTGAAAGGCCCCAGGCCCGAACCCAAAACCACAAACCCAAAACCCCTAAACCCCTGAACCCTATATGCAAAAGGAATAAGGATGCCTCTGCGCGCCCCTTCCCGCTGTGGGGGCTGCTCAGGCACTTTCTGGCTCCTGGGACACGAAGAACCTGAATGGTGGTCAGGGCTTAGGGTGTTCAGGGGTTGAGGCTTTCGGGCCATTGAACTTTGAAGACGATGACACATATACAGTCTCGTTACTGCTTTCTTGTGTTGGGGAGGCAGTCTTGCGCATGCTCTGCACTGCGATGTTCAGCTGCGCTCCTCCCATTCGAAACGACACCTTCAACTAAGGAGAAATAGTGCGTATAGGCCTTAGGCAGAAAGATCTTGATTCCTGAAGCTTGCACGCCCTACTAACCCTACTACTGGTATAAGCTCTAAACCTCTCAACCCTCAAAGACAAGCACCCTGTGCAAGGCAGTGCTGGGTCTCATGCGGATCCTCCGACAGCTTCTTCATGGTCTCCTCCTGCAAACTTTGTGGTTAACCATGCAAGAGAAAGCAAAATGCCACACCACAACTGTGGGCAAACTTGTTGACGCATGTGCCACCAGAGGTACTTGTACTCCGCAAACTTGGGCTCTGATGGGCCCTGAACCCTCAACCCCCCAAAATCTCGCAATCCTCCCAAAATCCCCCCGACTGCAGTGCCTCGAGAACTTCCCGGCAGAAGTCGCCATCCTGCAAGGGATCAGGTCCACTCCCTTACCCCTTTAGGGCTTGGCTTTATCATGAGATTCAGGGCGCCATGAGCGCCATCAACTTGATTGCACCTAGCGTTGCCAGGCCTCACGGATCGCAACGATGAGATCGTTGAAGTCGGCGAACTTTGCCCTGCAAGCAGCCAGCACAGCTCTTAAACAACAAGCCAGTCGCTCAGACAGGGGATAAATTCCGGGGGGCAAAAGATGCGAGGCGCTGGGGCTGAATGAATCCGAAGCCCTCCAGAATTCGTGGCCTATTTGAACAGCTGCCCTCAAGCGTCGTGAACTCCAAGCCTCTTAGGGTAAGAGCCCCGAAGGCTCCGAACCCAAAACTCTGGGGACCCCTCTCAGGGCGAACGAAGCCGCAGACGATAAGCCGAAGCTCGGAATCGTAGAAGTCCCCGTCCTCACGTGGATTCAGAGTTTGGAGTTGGCCCGATGTAGAACACAGAGAGCTCGGACAGGGTTGCTTCAAAGTGCGGACGCCCCCATGTGGGGTGCGCCATCCTCGTGTCGTCATTTTTGGTTTGGTGTTGAGGCCTCAGAAGTGCAGACAGTCATGAGTCATGAGGATGAAACCTGTGGGGTGTGGCGTTCTCGTAACTGTCTTTACTTTCAAGCTTCCGTTTGCAAGAGTGCCCACAGTGGCCAGGATGATGAGGCATGTGGGCGCGCCCCATCCTCGTAACTGTCGTCACTTTGGAGCTGAGCAGCCACGACGAGCGACGCATCTGTTATGTTCACCGTGTGCCTGACGTATGTCTGCCTTTGGGTTAACCCCCATCAGGTTAAGCTAGTTTGTTGTCACGGCCTGCCCAGCCATGCATCTGATACAGACCTCTGCAATCCCCTTATATAGTGTTTCAGATCGTAGATCGTGACACAAGAGATGACCCAGACAACGACAACCAGGTCTGCCACCGTACTGGTCAATGAACACAAACTCTCCACAGAGTGGCACGTCGCGATCACGGATGTGTTGCAAGCCAGAAGTGTTTGCACACGGTCAAACCTTGGAGCCAAACATGAAATTTACCAGGATTGTAGGTGCGAATTCGCGAAGACTATAATCGGCAATCGGAAACTTGTTAACATGCATTGGATCTTTGTTACAAAACAAGCCAGATGCAATTTCACTAAGAACCGAAAAGGATAACAATCACTAACAAAGGAGAAGAGGCTTTAATGTGAGATGAGTTGTGCGCAATAAGAATCTAGAATGAGCATTTAAGGAATGCCGTGAACCCAATAGGAACCTCATCATAATTGTAAGCTACGAACTTCATAGTTAAGGTTTCGGCTTATTTGACTTCTGTCAGTGGCGTGAGCATGCAGGCAACTCAGGCAACTTCTACAGTAAAGGCATCGCGCCTCTGGCTCATGAGCCCGCAGCCACTTGTTATGAACAGTGAAGAGTAGGATTTCGGGTTTAGGGTTTAGGGTTTTGTATTGTTGTCACTACAGTAGAACAGATTGCGATGGTTCTCAGCAACGACGATTTCATTCAAAGGAGAAGATGGTCTTACATGGCAAGGCTCCACCAAGCCAAGGGCAAACAAACAATACTACCAAAACTCACGGTGTTTCTGAAAATTAGGGGTACCTTATTGGGGACCTTGTTACTGTATGAGGGGATCATATTGCGGGGTACATTTTTCTAATCGGAGCAGCAGATGGCCTTGGACGTGACATCTTTTGCATTCGGGGAAACAAAGAAGCCCCCTTGTTTTTGGAAAGGCTCCAGAAGTCTTGTTAAAGGTGGTGGGTGCGGGGGCGCGCGTGGGTGCGTGCGTGCGTGTTGTGGGGGGGGGGGTCATTCAAGGGCAGCCCCCGAGGCAGCCGCGTAGTCGTGCAAGATCCAGGGCTCAATCGTCTTCGCCTAGAGCATGAGTCAACTTCTGTAGCCGGCACAGTGTCATTGCCCCAGCATGCCAAAGCCCCAGCTATGGTTCAGACTTTGCAGGCTCTATCAGGGAGTCAGGCTACTTTGGAGCTGCTGCTTCACTAGACAAGAATGTATTCAATGAGGCCATACCGGCTTGTGCCTCTTCATGACACGCCACACTGTCACGAACTGACGGCAACAACAGGCAACCATTAACTCACGGCATCGCCACCTTGACGTCCGGGAATGTCGGATTCCAGCCAACACTCATCGCGGTCTGCAGGCGTTGTGCAC